TTTATCCGAATACTTCATGCTCTGTATTTCATTCCTTTTTTCTGCATTCCTAACGTTTTCTGTTTCTTTGCTGCATGTGTCTGTTTATTTTCGATAAACTCTTGCATTCTAAATTCTGAACACAATCTTGATTTTTCTTTTAAAGTCTATTTTTTAGTCTGTGGGGTTCCGTGCTGCATCTTCGTTTATTTGATCCATCCCCAGAAGCCTTTTTGCATATACGATGTTTCTTTGATCCACAATTCGATTCAAGATCCCTCTTTTTGTGGTGATTTTTTTATGGGACACGTGATTTAGTCCCTTTATAAAACCATGAGGTGACGCTTAATAGTTCTATTATGCTAACTGTAAAAATTAATAGAATTTTCTTTCTTCTTGTGTGAGACAGTTTTGAATTTGGAGTTTAAAATGCGTTATGGATCGCTTCTGAGCTCTGTTTTTTTGGTTCTAATTGAATCTCGGTCACATTATGTATGACCACTTTGTTTGTGCATTTGTCCTGCCTCATTGTATCGAAAGTGTTTGTCTTTTGTGTCTTCTAAGCTTTATGCTGAAGCATTTTACCTGCATAGACCATAAATCTGTTCATCCTGGCCCGGTGTTAAACTTTGGAATTCAGTATTCGCCCTCTTTTGTTTTTATCTTTGGATGTCATTATTGTTAAGTTAACTTTGATCTGTTTTTGCATTCAATGCAGGGCAAGCAAACACTTCAAATTGTTCAATGATGTGCCTTTTGTCCGAATGAATTCTAAATTTCCCTCAAGCGATATTGCTGTTAGTAGAATTAAAGCTGGTGGAGGAGACCTACTTTCCTATCCAAAGAGCAATGACATTGTGATAGGCAAAAATCTGGTTGGAGATGAATCTGTTCGAATTGATGTACAATATAATGGAACATCAACTGTAGACACAGGGATATCAAGCAATGTTTTCTCTGTTGATGGTGATGAATTCGATCTGGACAGCCCAACAGCAGGTTTTGCTTCCATCCCCGAGGCCATTGAAGACATTCGGCAGGGAAAGGTTGTTACTCTCTCTCAATAAAATTGTTTGCTCCCCTGTTTTTTAATTAGCCCATAAGAGGTGTGTAGTGCTGAAGTTCTTCTGTTCAAGTATCATGATAGATTACTGTTATTAACGGATATATCTGTTCTTGATGCAGATGGTAGTGGTCGTCGACGACGAGGATCGAGAAAATGAAGGAGACTTGATAATGGCAGCACAGTTGGCAACACCCGAGGCAATGGCCTTTATTGTGAAACATGGAACTGGGATAGTTTGTGTAAGCATGAAAGAGGAAGATTTAGATAGATTGGAACTTCCTTTGATGGTAAACAGTAAGGATAATGATGAGAAGCTTCGTACGGCATTCACTGTGACAGTGGTATGTAGTACTTTTCTTCCCTGCATCTTCATGCGGAGTTAGTACAATATCTTTCTGAAAGTCTTCATTGTTATTGATCTGCCCTTATATAATTGTGATTCTCTTGGTCTAGACCAGCTTATAGATCAAACGTTTGTCTTGATATATGCAAACCACACATTACCTTTTGTATAGAAGAATCAATAATTTGAGAGAATACCAGACAAGTCTCTTAGAAAAAAGGGGGAAATGCTATATGGTGGAAACTAGAAAATGAAATACCTCAAATGATAAACATTTGAATGACAACTTTGTATTGCTATCCAACTATATATGGTGGAGATATTTCTCTTTTGAACTAAGTGCTGTGATTTTCCCTTCTCACAGTTAGGGTTTTCCATCCTGAATTGTGTCTTTTAATTATTGTTTTTCATCTTACTGTCTATTTTAAGTCACATAAGGGAGGAAATATCCTTGAGTTCCTTTGTCATCGTCTTGAATCATCTGATATACTCAGATAGACCTGTGTTTCCCAAAATTTTTGATACATTTCAATTATTTAATGTCCGTGTGTAGGATGCTAAACATGGTACCAGCACCGGTGTGTCAGCTCAAGATAGGGCAACAACAGTCTTAGCCCTTGCATCTAGAGATTCTACTCCAGGTGATTTCAACCGCCCAGGCCATATTTTCCCACTAAAATACAGGGAAGGTGGTGTCTTGAAGAGAGCTGGACACACAGAAGCTTCGGTTGATCTTGCTGTACTTGCTGGCATGGATCCAGTGGCAGTTCTGTGTGAGATTGTAGATGACGATGGGTCCATGGCCAGACTGCCAAAACTTCGCCAGTTCGCAGAGCGTGAAAATTTGAAAGTCGTATCTATCGCTGACTTAATAAGGTATTTAGTAACATTTCGTGGATTATGTAATATAGTTCATTGTTTACATATTTATGTTTAGACCCTGCTTTCTACAGAAGATACTATAATTCATATCTGTTAGGTTGTCTTAAATTGAACTACTTGGATTCTGTGGAACTTCTTGTCTTTTGAGGATACTCAGTCAAACAACCTTGAGAGGTGTTTTTTAGTGAAATTTTCACTGATATAATAGCAAGCGATTATAACACTTCCCATTTGGCAGATATAGAAGAAAAAGGGATAAGCTGGTGGATCGCGCTTCTGCTGCACGGATACCTACAATGTGGGGACCATTCACAGCGTACTGTTACAGGTCCCTTTTGGACGGAATAGAGCATATTGCAATGGTTAAGGTGAGCATTTATTGTCGTTATATACGTGTTAGAATCTACCTAGGTGGTTCTGAGAGTTTTATTATTTAACAGGGTGAGATTGGAGATGGAGAAGATGTCCTTGTGAGGGTACACTCGGAGTGTCTAACCGGAGACATATTTGGATCTGCGAGATGCGACTGCGGAAATCAGCTTGCACTCTCAATGCAACAGATTGAAGCTGCTGGTAGAGGTGTGCTGGTATATCTCCGTGGACACGAAGGACGGGGTATTGGATTGGGCCACAAGCTTCGTGCTTATAACCTACAGGATGACGGACGTGATACAGTAGAAGCCAACGAGGAGTTAGGATTGCCTGTTGACTCCAGGGAATACGGCATTGGCGCTCAGGTATCAATCACATCACGACCACCCCGAATGATGTTTTTCTATGGTTGTGAAAGTTAACTGAACTGAGTTTTGTATTCTGAACTTGCAGATATTAAGGGACTTGGGTGTTAGATCTATGAAGCTGATGACCAACAATCCAGCAAAATATGTCGGGCTCAAAGGTTACGGTTTGACAGTTTCGGGTAGGATCCCAATATTATCTCTCATTACTTCAGAGAACAAGAGATATTTAGAGACCAAACGTATGAAAATGGGTCATATATATGGCATGGAAAGTGGAAACAAGGTTGATGATGACTCTAGTACTGTTACTGCCCCATAGAAAAACATATTATTCATTTCTCTGATCTTACCTTTACCAGAGACAGACATTCTTCGTCTTCAAACATTTAAACATAGTTTCTTTCTTCATTCTTTTTATGCAACAATTCATTTACAGTTACCTCTGTAATTTGATAAAGAATTCATGATTTGTAGCTCTACTGTGTTGTATAGATAAATTCCTTTCCTACCTTTTTCCCATTTATGTTTGACGATCCTTTTAGTACTGTTGGACTATGTGTTTCGTTTACGCCTTTGAATGGACTATGTCAGAGTTAACAAAATTGAATTCTTCAAAGAATAATAATTTTATCTAAATAAAAAACAATATTTGATAGGTAAGTTGTACCCATCTTATAAGAAAATATTTACATGAATTAACTTATATAGGAAATATTTATAAGAAGTCCCTGATTTTAAATATTAAAGTATTCGTTTATTTGTTTAATTTATCTAAATTTATTACGCAAAACCATGTTTTTTTAATATACTCAGGTTTTTATGTTTTTAATATTCAGATTATTGATATGTAAATAACTTAAAGTAATCAATACATTTATATAAAGTTATATAACACTATAAAATGAGAAATACAAAAAATAATTTTAAATAGTGAATATGATATAAATGATTACTGATCACAATTGTTTTTTAAACTTCATGTACTAAATAAAATAAATTATACAAATAGGTTTAGATTGAAAAATATTTTGAAAAATTATGATTAAATTATTTTAATATAATACATGTTCGATTAAACGTATAAGTTTAAACTTTTCAAATATTACATTTATTTTACAAAGACTGAATTTAACAGCTTATTGATTAGAGTTTTTTTGTGAAATATAATTGACATTATAATAATTAAAATAAAAAATTGTGTAAATATTTTAATTTTTTTAGGTAATACTATTTTGGATTAAAACCATTCTAATTCTATCCTAATTGATCATGGGGTGGATATAACTTTCTGCAACTTATCATTTTTTAATAAGATTAATTTACTCATTAAATGAAAATAATTGCACTTAATTATGTAAGTTTTATCTAACAATAACTATTACCTCTCAGTTTAAAAAATTATTTAATTATTCTTTTTCATAAATATATTTTTTATCTGTATTTAAATAAAAATGGCATACACATCTACATATGTTTACACTACAATTCTGCGTATACTGGTCTACAAAAAGTAAAACAAAAATATAAAATAATGTAAAAGTGATTATTTTAATAATTTTTAAACATAAATTTAGAATTCACATTTATTCCTATTGCGGATATAAAGGAAACTACTAGTCTTAAATATGACAGCTAGCTGTTTAACCTTTGGAAACCTAACACATTGAGTGAGCTAGTCAAATTGTGCACTACTTTCCAAACCTTTCACGAAACATTCTTTCTAATAATATTGCTGGTTCAAACGCGCTTATTTGACCTGTACAGCTTTTGCCAACTCCACGCGCTGTGAAACATAAAGTATTTCCTTCACCACAACGGCTATTTCTTTTATTCATGTTTCGACCGTTGTCACATCTCTTTAATCCAACGGTAACATATATTTAGTAAACACATGTACGTTCCAGATTTCTTGACAGCTGTATCACTTCACTTCGTCAAAAAAACCCTTTACCTTCTTCACGCGTTACTTATTTCCTATAAATACCTTCTTACTTTGCTTCTTTTCCTTCACACATCTCAACCATCACATAACTTCTTCCCTTTCCCTTCATACATACTCAATATTCATTCTTCTTTAACCTTCTACTCACTCAACAATGGCTCGTTCCTTAGCTGTTATGTTGCTTGCTGCATTGTTGATCAGCTCTACAATGGCTCAGTCTCCGGCTTCTTCGCCGGCATTGTCACCGACCAACACTCCCGTCGCCACTCCACCGACCAACACTCCCGTTGCCACTCCACCGAGGAGAGCGTTGTCACCGGCTCTGTCTCCGTCTCCCGTCGCGGTTGCACCGTCGTCTGATTCACCTGCCACCGGAACATCTCCTCCTGCTCCACCTACGTCTCCTTCTGAGTCCCCAAATGTCGCTCCCATCCCTCCTCCCTCCTCAATATCGGGCCCACCGGCTGAAGCACCAGGACCAGCTACAAACGGTGCCGTTTTGAACAGACTCACCAGATCTGCCGTGGTCCTCGCCATCGCTGCGGCTGTGCTCGTGTAGAAGATATTTTATGCTGTTTTATTATTTATCCTATTTATTTTTCTATCATTTTTTAGGTATACTGAGTCTTGAACTCCAGTATTTCTTTCTTTTTGGTTTTTAGAGATTGCTCTGGTGTCATCAGGATTCATTCATTTGATTATTTTGTACATTTTATTACTATTTATTATTGCTATTATCCTTACAATTTATAATATACCCAGCTTTATAGTTTAACATAATCTCTTCATATTATCTATTATGTTCCCAAAGTTCAATTCAACCAAGTCTTTTTTTAATCCTGACACGGTCTTTGAACAAGAAAACATTTCACTGTTTCAAGAAATTTAAATTTTAAATCTATTAAATTAGAATTGTTTAATTTCTTTTAAGTAGACTTAAATTTAACACACTCGTCAATGAAGAACCTTACAAACCATAATTTTAATGGAGACTGATTCTTGAAATTGAAAATACTCACTTGATCTATAATAAGTTGTTATTTTTCAGATAACATCCTAACTTAAAAACAATATCAATTATAATTTTTTTTATGTACTTATTATATTTTAAATTTTAAGATAGATTCAAACAACTTTTTTATTTGAAAGTTAAATTTTAAGTTTTTTGTTCAAATCTATATCTATTCAACAAATTTCCATTGTAGAATAATTAGTTGAGTTAGACGAAATAATTTCAACGGATTGTTTAATTTAGTCAAACTTTTTCACAAATTAAATAAATGATGTTTCGTCTAACAAATTTAAATAAAGCGTTTTTATCCTATTTGATTTTTTTTTCCTGAATCATATACTATATTTTGAAAAGTAAATCAAATTTGATTAATGAATAATGTGAAAAGTAGTTATCCAGAGTGATACGGTATGATTTGAGTAATCATGTATCTATATGGAATTGAAATATTCTAACTTTATTTATAACCAAATATTGAAAAGTGGATAAAATGCAATGCGTCATTATATAAAATATTATATAAAATGAATACAATAAAAAACTACCTTAATATGACTTGAGTTATGAGAAAGATCTTAAATTTGATTTTGATGCTTAAAGTACCCATGATAGATAGATAATATTGAACGGCTACTTTTTTTTTATAACAAATTTCAAAAAGATTTTCTTTGTGCAGTTTTTATTTTATAGATATTTACTAAAATAAGATTATTTACTTAAATAACCTCTTAATTGATAATATCTATCAATCATTAATATTTTTTTGAAGACGCATCTCTGTAAGTTTATATTTTATTAAATATTCCTTTTAAATTTTCAATAATTCTTTAAAAGAACAATTAAAGGTACTCTTAATAATGATTTATTGAAACTAAAAATCAGATCTTTAGTTTTTTTTTATACTTTTAATCATTGTTCATCAGAATTAAGTTTTAAATATCCAATAAATATAATTACTTATATTTTTATTTTATTTATATATTTATAAGTTTATTTTATTTATGTATTTATAAGTTTCAAAATGAATATTTAATTAAAATTGATCCAATTATGATTTAATATCATCTAAGCATATTTTTTATTTTGTTAATCAAATTACGAAATCTTTGTTGTGCTAAGACACCAAACAATTAACCAATGGGTTACTAGTCAATTAATATTATTTTAAGATTCTTAAAGTTGATCATCCATGTAATCATCAACTAAGTATACATATAGTTCTATACGTTACACATTATTATCTGAGGGAAACGATATTCAGTATGAAAATAAACCTTAATCATTATAATAATAATAATAAGAAAAAAACTGAGAATTGAATAAAATGAACTCTGCCAATAATCAGAAGGGTGAAAGTGTAATCCCTGGTGAGATGGACAAGATCTTTTGATGAACATAAAATATGGGTCAAATCTTCTAATTTCTATATTCTTCAGTTTATTTTCTAAAATCATACTCATAACTCCCAAAATAGGAATGCTAAAAAAGAGAAACTTGTCTAAGCTATGCACATTCTATCTTTCAAACTCCAATTGTGCTTGCACCGTAATTCACGCCTCAATCACCAATCACTTTTTCTATCAACTCAAAAACAAAATAATATTCTTCTTCATGCTTTCTTAATACAATTTTTTATTTACTTTTAATTTTAATTTTTTAACTCTTAATCCATGTTATTCATTTATTTTCTTTCTACAATTTTAAATTATCCTTAATTATAATTTAATATAAAATATACCAATAATACAAATGTCAATTCTTTTTGTTAGTACATGACACAAATGTTAAAATAAAATAAATATTGTAAATTTAATATAAAATCAAAGTTATAAACTTGCTTTCTTTATAATCACAGTATATGTGTAAATAGAATTTAAAACATAATTAAGTTTAAGAAATGGTCTGATGTTAAATTTACCAATTATTATTATTAAGATTAATTATCATATATTTAAAATATTGTTTGTTTTTAAATACTGAAATTCGTCATAATTTTATTTTTAAAAAATAATTTAGAAAATGAAAAAATATTTAAATTATTGCTATTAAATATAGTAAGAATATAAAAAATAAATAAAAAATATGATGACCACTGAAGACAAGACCATAGTCTTCCCCTGTCCTTACGGTTGTGTGTTGTGGATCCCCACGAATTTCACACTTTCCTATTTCTTGACCGTTACAATTCCGGCACCCGTTTCATCAACGGTACCTGTTCCTCTGAGATCAGATCAGTTTCCACGTGTACTTTTCTGATTCAACCAAAATTGCGTTTCTATGGACGCGACTCATCATTACTCCCACGCATCATATCAATTTATCAGAGCAATCTCCACCATCGGATCCTCCAGTCACACCAATCTCTTATTCTATAAATTCTCACTCTGTCTCTTCATCCTTCTCAAACACACTCGTCGTAAAACTAAAACTACGACACTCATTCCTTGCGACTATTCATATTTTCCTCTTACCGTCTCTCTGATGGCTTCGACTTCCACTCTCATTCTCATGGTCGCCGCGATGTTAGTTTTCTCCGCCGTTGCACAATCTCCGGCGTCGTCTCCAAATGCCGCTGCTACTTCACCAGCTGTTTCTCCGTCCAAGTCTCCGCCCACTGTTTCTCCGTCACCAGACTCCGCCGTGAGCTCTCCGCCATCTCCTTCTCCATCGTCTGCGTCCTCTCCCTCCTCTTCCGTCCCTCCATCGTCGATCTCTGCTCCTCCGTCCGAGGCTCCTTCACCTTCTGAGAATGCCGCTGTCTCGTATGGTTTTTCTGCAGCAGGATCTGTGGTAGTTGTTTTCGTCGCTGCTTTATTGGTCATATGAAAGGCTTATATAGGAAAAGTATTGTCTTTGATTTAGAGTCTGTTATAGCTATAATTATTATTTGGTTTGGGTTGTTGTGAAAATAACCAGATGTATTGTTTAGTCTTTTGTTATTACTTGTGAGATATTTGTGATTATGTCTTCATTGTCCTAACACTAGGAAGCTCTTGCTCCTTATTCTTGTTCCGTAGTTTGATCGAACATTCTTACGTTGTTGCTCTCAGATAGTTCGTTGTAGAATGTTTGAGCAGAAATGGAAGAGACGAGATTATCTTAAAAAGAACTTTTGAATCAAAAGCATAGCAATGAAGCTCTTCTGTTTAAAACAAGATGTATTATAATGGAAAATCAACAGACAAACCCATCAACATTTCTTTTAATTTTTCATCATTGCATATCCCACCAATAAAATTAAAGACGTTAGTTATATAAAATCTTTACACACAAATTATAATTCTACCTTTTTTTATTATTTTTACTCTTTTTGAAAATATTAAAAAAATATAGTGAAATGTTTTAGCTTCAACTTGATTAGGTTTTTTTTATTTATTTTTTATGTTCAACTAATTTATGGATATGCTTCTCCTTTATACTTCAAGTAATACTTATTTTCATTTGTAGAAAATGAGTTTAATATTTAATTGTGATACTAAATAACAAGCTCTTTTTATTAGATAGTAAATAATTACTCTAATTATATGTTTATTCCTAAATCTAATTGAATCTTGTTTTAGTCCTAAATTTAATTGCATCTTCTTGATAATAATAATAATAATAAACTTATTTATAATCACTAGTTGTGTAATATTTGGTAAAAAATGTATACCTTGTTTGAAAAACAAAATTAATAAAGTTAATTATGTAATAAATGTATCAAAATAAAATAATAAATAATTTTTTATACAAGTATAAAAAAAATTTAGTTTATGTTTTGAGAATAAAATAAAAAACAATAGAAGTTAAAAAATCACGTTTTAAAAAAGGAAATATTAAATCGTTATTAAATGCTATATTATTTTAAATACGAGTCATGCAATAGTTATAACATATTATTGAAAAAGTTATACAAGTATATTACTTTATCATCATCATTGTTAAAAGTTATAAAATTCAAATGTGTAAAAATATAGTTAAAATAAAAATTTTAAAATAATATTAAAATTTATTGAATTCAATCTAAAAAAAGTTATAACCAATATTCTTAAAACCTATAATGAGTCAAAATATTAATTCAGTGAAGTGTTTAACATTTATATAAGATATAAACATTACAATCAAGTACTTGGGACTGGAAGGCTCATTCAACTACTTCTCACACCAACATTTTTTATGTTGTATATATTTATATAAATTATTTAATTCCTATTAAAAAAAGTTCAAAATATTTTGAATTAATGAATTTTCAATTTCCTTTTTTTACATAGAAACTGAATTACTTTAAAAAATCCTTTGATATTAAGACTTCCTTTTCATTGAAACATGATTGTGTGAATGAGAAGATGGCAGAAAAAGTCGATTGGAAGAGTTAGAATGAAACAAATAACACTAAAATAGAAGTCTTTTGAAGCATTCCTTAGGACACATAGCTTCTCTTTTCTTCTTTCTCTTCTTTCTTTTCCTTTTTGTTTCTTCTAATGACCCTTCATTCATGCAAAGGAATTCTTTAGTTACTCTTATTACCTTCAAACAATTGTCACTAATTTCTCCACCAAAAGGAAACAAACAAAAGGACTTGTTCTTTAGTTACTCTTATTACCTTTTGAAACGTTTTTTAACAATAAAACCAGAGTTTCATATTCCAAGATGAATTATATATTGGATGTATAATGATTGATCCTAATAGAAATAAATTAAATTAAAGTTATTTTTCATTAGATTAAAAAATAATAAATAGCTCATTAAGTGAACTATTTTTATTAAATTATATTTTACTGTTTTCAGTAAAAATGAAGGATAGAGAAATAAAATTTCAGAAGAAATAAATAAAATAAAACAGAGTGAAAATTTGAGAAAAAAAGTAGTATAAAAATAAAGGAAAACATTATTTTAGCAAATAATAAATTAATTAATACTGAGTAATCATACCATTAGAAATTACTCCTGTATTATTTAATTGATTTTTTTGTAAATAAAATATTTTTTTAAGTAACATACTCCTTCAAATTAAGATTTATTTTTTCCCAATATATTTATACTTTAAATATAATGACAAAATAGTTTTTGTTATAAAATTGTAATTTTAAAAATATTTGAGATACTTAAATTAATCAAATAATATCACCCTAAAAATAAAAATTAAATTAAAATTTTCATTAAACTTTTATAACAATGTTCATATTTATCATATTCTACCAAAAATAGCTAAGGAATATAGCCAAACTATTACGGAGATAGATGAGAGATAACTAATTTTGAAAAATAAATTTCTTTTTCTGTACTTTTTTTCATTTGTTTCTTAAATTTGAACGAAAAAAAAAATACATTAAAAAGTAATATATTTCTTTACTACCAAATGAGAAGAAAATAATGTTTAGTTGAAAACTTAAACCTTTAATACGAAACTGATATTCATTATGAAATGTATGAAGGGGGGGAACTATTTTATTTGTTTCATACATGTATTAAAATTAAATATAAACTCAAAATTTTACGAGAGTTAAATTATTTTTTAATTCAACTGGGGAAATCAAAGTATAAATGTAATGTTAAAATATAATTATTTAGCATGCTGGGTAATTTTCTATAAAGAGTGTATTGAACAATAGATGTTTTAAATTACAGAGATAATTTAAGTTTAAAAATTAAAAGTAGTTGATAATTGCTTAAAATTAATTTATAGATATATGTAATTTTACTATAAGGTTATAATTCATTTGGGTGTTTCTTCCTGTGTGTTTATTTTTTCGTTTTCAATTTCTGAAAATAATTTCATTAAATGAGATTAGTAACCAGTAATTATTATATTTCAAAATCTGTTCAAGATTTTGGTAAATTTCAAAATTCATTAATTTTTTTTAAGATTTCAACAAATTTTAAAATTTATTAATTTTTTTTAAATTAGATGAATATTAAAATTTATTGAAAACGTGAACAAATTTTAAAATCTGTGAAAGTCTTTAAGATCAACAGATTTTAAAATTTGTTGAATCAGCGAGATGGAGTTTATGATTTTTTAATTGCATAAATAAAAACTTAGAAAATAATTACTTTAAATTAACTATTTTTTTATAAAAGATAGTTTTGGAATTTAAAAACAAAATTGGAGGTGCAGATAATAAATGGTTGGAGGAGCATCTTTTCAATTTTATTTGTTTAAGAAGCCCAATTTGATTGGACTTAATGTGTAGTGTACTTTTTGTGTGTAATATAGGAATTCAACTAGAGGAAACGATTTCATAATATATATATATATATATATAATATATAATATATATAAATAGATATAAATTTTATTTTATAAATTAATTTTGAGATTAAATTAAATTTAAAGTTCATTATTATATATATATATATATATATATATATTATGTGTGTGTGTGTGTCATTTGATAGAACACTGATCATACAAATAAATAGATTTAATTTTTTTGAAAAATAAAGGTATTGGTATTTTTTTTCGTTGTGTTAATTATATAAAGAGTGGATTTTATGGTTTCTAGTGATTATATCTCATTATAAAAAGATTATTAATGTTTAAACATAGTTTGTATCTGTTGAATATAGTGAAAAACTATATTTGAATTAATCTCCCTTGTGTAAAATACACACATAGGGTTCTCTATTTATAATAGAAGAAATATGGGCTAAGCCCAAAATACAAATGAGAAATAATAACAAACTAACTAAAAGATAAAAGATATAATATATCTAAACACTCCCCCTCAAGCTGGAGCATACAAATTGTATGAACTAAGCTTGGAATAGATGAACTCAGTGTTGAACTAGATGATTTGTCTTCAAGAGTGTGAGGCAAACATAGATGGACTAACAGCAGCTTGTGAAACTTCAACTTTCAAAAGTGGATGAAGGAGAGAGTGGTGGACAATGACAAACTACAAGGACTGATTCCCAATCAATGATGGATGAGTGACGGATCAACAGTGGTAGCTGAAAGTTAAGAGCTACAAAACTGCAGGGACTACACTAAAATCCTCATCAATGATGGATGGGTTGACCGGGATCAACAGTAGTAGCTTGAAATCTACAAAACTGCAGGACTACACCCATTATATGTGACTTGCATGTCTTGGAAACATACTCCCCCTTAGTGTGAAGGTGGAAATGTGAAAGATCACAGTTGCTGAACAACAAAGCAAAACAAATATTAAGCTACAATGCTGAAACAAAGGCATAAAAGATCCAAGACATGTTGGAGGTCCAAATTCTTTGCTGGACAACTCCCAAGTGGTGATACTTAGCCGTGTATCACAAGAAGATCGGGCTAAACTCTAGCCCAGAAAAAACTGACGCAGTTGTCTAAGGCGGTAGCGACTGCCAGCGGCGGTTGACTGCTATAAAACTGTAGGGACAAAATTGCCATCACTGACTGATGGGGCCTGTAGTGGCTGGAAGCGACAAAACTACAGGGACTGCCATCACTAACTGACGAGGTGATGGGGGCCTCCAAGTGGTTGAAAGCATACGGTGCCTGGACAGTGGCAAACTGCGCCTGGACAACGGCAAACGGCGGCGCGTAAGCGGACAGCGGGACACGAAACGGCGCGGGACAGCGGCAAACGGCGCGGGACAGCGGCAAACGGCGCGGGACAGCGGCAAACGGCGCGGGACAGCAGCAACGGCGCGGGACACCGGCAAAAAACGGCGCGGACAGCAAGCAAACGGCGCGGGGACAGCGGCGATGGTCTGGTTGGCGAGACCGACTCCGATCATCAAGTTGGGCAGCCATGGAGAGGGAGAAACCAAAAAATTTAAAGTACTCCGATTGATGCAACGACCACAGATCCGAAAGAGGGCGAATAGGCGATCACGGCAGTGCTGATCGGCGGCGGAAAGCTCCGCGCACGCGCCGGCACGCGCGCCGGCAGCGGCGCAG